GACAAATGGCACTTCAACAGAGGAGTTATTGGAGCTGTCCTCCAATGAGCAATGGTGGTACCATCCACGGCCCTTCTATAAGGACGAATGCTTCCTACAGTACAATGGGGCCAGACTGGCACTGAAATTAGCCATTAGTACAACTAAATCTGACCTGAGATTTAATACCTGGATAAACTATATAAATAGGTAGGAAAAGTTAAATGTAGCAGGTTTTATTGAATAAAAATACCATTAGATTTTATTCATTTCTTTAAAAATTTCTGCTTTTGAAAACAGGAACTCATGAACCTTTATGAAGTTCTAGAATACTGATTGGCCAAAGCCTTATATTTGCTGCCTTTCGAACTGAGAGGCAGGGTTCAGATCTGAATCCTATTTCAGCCTCAAACTCAAACTCTAGTTTAAACCTAATGATTAGTTGTAGTGTTAGCATTACTGTAGCATACAGAGGCTCCCAGATCAGGATGGGGGCCCTGTAGGGCTAGGCACTATACATACACACAGTACAATGCCCCAACTTGCTGAGAGGATGTAAAAAAAAAAAAAGCAGAGATAATTAGGGGAGGGCAAGGGCGGTACAAAGAAGAATAACTAGGTCCACAATTACCAAATTTTGGGGACCTTTTTGGTGGGAATATATATTTTGTATAAGGACTTTAATAAACACACATTGTGGTACTTAAGGACCACATGTAGCCAACGTAAATACTTAAAAAGCAAGAAAATGCCAATGTAAGGAATACCTTCTAGCTCTGCCTTTATCACACCTCTTACTCTAAGTGACTCTAGCTAATGTGATATATGTGAAGTCTATGGCTACACTGTAATTCAACAACCACAGCTGGCCTTCGTGAACTGCATCGGGCTGCAGAGATGTAAAATTGTGGTATAGTTCAGATTTGTGCTGGAGCCAGGGCTCCAGGATAGGGGTAGGGTGTCAGAGCCCAGGCTCTAACCTGAGCCCGAACATCTACACAGCAATTTTGGAATTTTTGTTGCTAACATTTTTGACATTTTGACTTTTGATCATGATAGCCAAGATAGGAACTTTTTTCGATATCTCAAAATTGTTTGCATGATGGGGAACCTGTTTCCCACACTGCTGCAGTCAGAACCACCCAGAATTAGTCCCTCTGTTATGAAGAAAAGTAGACATGACTTATGACTTATAGTGTACTCCATAGTGGTTTCTCCAGAAGCTGATACATGCAAAAAGACAACAATGGTGGTGTTAAAAGTAAATAGAATCCCCACTAAATCAAGACACTATTGAGCTTTGAGTCTGTATACTCCACAGTCTGATGTACACTCTTTAGAATTACATAAGTAGCACTAAGAACACACACAACAATAGCAAGTAAAGGAAGGCTGTTAATACAAAAGATAAAGGCAAATTTAGAACTCCTTTGTTAAACAGAAGTGCTATTTGAGTGTGTTGATTCCTATGAAATATAGCATTACCAAAAACTGGGAGCAATGTAATTTCACAAGGGTTTATATTAGAAAGAGACCAAGCCCAGCATCTCAAAATGAATTAGAGGTGGGAGGGAGTTGACTTCAAATCTCTTCACTTTGATTCTTTCCCACTGAGTTCATTGATGAGGACACAGGGGCAAAATGAGAACAGACACATGCATGGAATTAAGCGGCAGACCACAGCTTTTATAAACTTTGACACAGAGCCGGAGTGCTACCCGCCCATCGCCCATACTTTCCTATACCAGGCATTTAATTGGTTTCAGTGCGGAGGTTACTGGGCTCCTTACCATAGAATCTGTAACTAGTGGCAGGGCGACGGGGATCCTTAGCATATAACCCATAAGGTGGGGTGGCTGTCTTCAGCTTACTCTCCAGGACTCAGCTCTCTCATGACGGGGAGAGAGGACGCAGCAGGGTGATGATATCAACCCATGAAGGCTACAAGGTCTGACCCTATTGCATGAGCCCAATGCCCACCACCAAAATCCCAGGGCTTTTACCTCTGAGAACTGTTCATTTTATTCTCTTCACTGACTGCAAACCGGCCAGCAACTAGCTTAGTCGCTCCCCACCCAATCACGCCACCTGATATCAACACCCAATCCATGCCTGCACATGTTGTATCCGTACACCAGCACCTCCATCTGACAGAGGTACACCATCACCCCCCAAAACTTTTGGTCTGCTTGCAATGGATGTCCCTACGCTGTACCACTGAACCCCCTTTCTCCAGGAATATCTTGGTGACCCCCTGGTTTACTTTCTTGCTAGCCTTGCCCACATGAGCTGGGTCTGCTCCCAGTCCTTGCCTGTCAGGGAGTGCAGAAGTGACATGAGCTGATCCCACTGCATGTGTCTTCTGGGTGGGAACAGCTTTGGCCTGCAGCCCAGCTGAGATTCAGCTGCCGGGCTGACTACCCTCTTGTGGGCCCAATGCTCTACAGAGTGCCCGCAAATCCAGATATTGCATGTGCTCTGTGTGTGTAGCTTCTGAAACAGACGAGCACATTGGGTTCATTTAATTTTGCCATGCCCTGCCACCTTTCTTTTTGTGAGCCCTTTTGCCTGCACCTGCTGTGGGCCAAACCCCCCTGCAGCTGCTGCCGTTGCTTGCCTTATCATGAAAGAATGAATACCAATTCCGGGGTGAGGAGTGGGCATGGGTCAAAACTGCAGCACCACAAGGTTTTTCTCAGTATTGTACCAAATTGGTACCTTGTCAGGCAGCTGCCATCACCCTATGTGAACAGCAGTCTCAACTGCAGGCCCTGTAAGCTGTTATTGTCTTTACATCCTGAGAATGATGACCACCGCTGCTTCTGTGAGCTGGTGAATTACCCTTTCCTTGCTGGCACTGAGCTGAAAGAGGCACCACAAGGCTCCTGCACAGAGATAAATTCTGGGAGCAGGGGAATACTGGCTAATCAGAACACCTCTCTCCCAGCTGGTTAATGGATGCCAGAGACTTTCAGGGGAGAGGAGCTACCTAGTGTTGTTTGGCCAGTGTCTCCCTCCCTTGCTACCAGGATTGTCCCCCTTTTACCATCAGCCCCATCAATTTCCCCCCTCCCTTGATGCCGGAGGGTGGCATATGGCAGTTACATGTATCTGTGGTCGGAGAGTTATATATGCAAGAACCTGCCCATACAGTTTTGGTTCCATGTCAGACCCCAAACTAGAAAGGACCTCACTCTTTTTGACAATTGCTATATTAAATAAAATCTATCAAAGATATTTTTAAACAAATAAAATCTCAAAAATATAGAATAGATCCAGTTGCTTTGATAAACACAGAGAGAGACAGACAGACAGAAGAGTGTGTCAGAATATGCTGCACATAAAGAGGGCCATATTACAACTGTTATAGACATACATATAAACCTAAGTTTCAGTTCATACGCAGTCCACACACAAAAGACCATAAGTGTTGCTATGTCCCAGCTGCCTTAAGCCATTCTCGTGATTCAAAGCTTGCTGGTAAATCTGGCCCACAGTATTTTAAATAAAGTAACATTAAACTTTATTCATTAGAATAATATAGTATTATGGAAACAAAGCCAAATAATATCTTACAAGTTTATTATAGATAGTGTTGGGAGAAAGTACTAGAACAGTAATATACAAATCTAAGGAGATTATGTGTACATAGACATAAATGATTAATACACGTGTTGAAGAAAAATATTAGTGAGGTATGTACATTTACATGAAAATTTAAGTAGTGTTAAAAACATTACTTGTTTTCTAAAAGTTTGCAGCAGATGTCCATGTGCCACAGCAATATAAATACATTATCTTTCTGTAGGAAACCAAACAGAAGTAAAGTCAGTAGAGAAAATTAACATCCTCTAATAAGAAAAAATAAAAGAAAAATCAAATAATGGGAACTTCTCATGGGGAAGGAGGTAGCTCGGTTTGGAAGGTATTAGATTAAAAGGTTGAATACCATTTTCTATGCAAGATAGAGGCAAAATGGAACATTGTAAATCCTTATAGATATAATAGATAGATGAACAGGTTAACTAGATTGGAAGGGTATCTCAGATTGATCTAATTTACAGTATTAAATCTAACAAGAAACCAAATCTATTAATGTTTTACTTGATTTTTACTCAGACCTTACTCTGGAATTGATGTCAAAACTTCCACTGAATATATAAATGAGTAAGGAAGGACATCATGATTTGGCCTAATCAGAATAAATAGATAAGCACGTAAAAGTTCAATTTCATGACGTGATAACTCTAATCCCTTCTGAATAGATGTGCGCAAAAAGCTTAAATCAATCAGCCTCTTGACTTGTATCAGTGTTACACCTCTCTCATTTGCCTCAAAGATTTGGAGCATGTTTTCATTTAGCAATTCAAATGGACAATGTAGCCATTAGGACTCTTAGCTGAAGCTGGGCAAATTTAAGCAACCCATTATTTGGTAAAAGCCCTCAGTGTAGTAAGTGGGTTACACCCTTTCTTCCTCAAGCTGCTGTTCACTTCAGAAAATTGGTTAGATCATTTTGTTGGGAAATTCACAGCACCTACAGTATATGTGTAGTGTATCAATGTAGCAACATGCAGCACATTAGATACTGTCAATCTGTTACCAGGAAAGCAATACAGTATAAAATGGAAATTGATACAAGTTGTATGGTAGTCAGTATCAAAAACAAGTAGTTGTGATGTTAAAGATCAGACACAGAAGACTATAAAATGCAGGACAGTAAGCAACATCCGTTGTACATATTTAGTTTTTAGCATGATTTATGTCAAATTCTCTATCATATTTTGGAGGCGAGAGAGCGGTTCTAATTTAAGGTAGACAGTAGTAAAGTAAGGTCTCTTTCATTACCACTGCATGACTGTAATGGCCAGAAGGGGTGGAAACATCTCCTTTATTCTGCATTCACCTCTCCCCTTTCCCTGCCTTCTCTACCCTCAACTTTGATTAAGGGGATTTACACAACAGTTACACTAGCAGTGAATACCACCATTGTACAAATTACACTTCCGTTTCACCAAAATCATTAACCATTCTTTACACAACAAATGAACTGGGTCCAAAACATTTAAGTAACATCTGAGACACGAGGTGGGTGAGATAATATCTTTTATTGGACCAACTTCTGTTGGCGAGAGAGAAGTCTGAGCCACACAGAGCTCTTTTTCAGTTAGTCCAATAAAAGAAATTACCTTACTCACCTTGTGTAATATCCTGGGGCTGACACAATTACCACTACACATAATGTAACATCTGTTCATAAAGCACATTGAAAAAGAAAGCATTATACAAGCACTAAACAACAACCATGGCATTAGTTGCCGAGACCAAAAACACAGGACCTGATTCTCCTTACAAGGACACCAATGTTAATCAGAAATAATTGCTCTGAAGTTAATGTAGTGACAATAGTGTGAAGTTAGAATCAGGCCCATAGTTTTACTGAACTAAAGAGATCCAGGAATTTAGGCAATAGCTTTTCTCAGCAGTATAGGCTGCCAACTTTTCTATCTGAATAGCTCTCTGAAAACTTGTCTTCATCCTTTTATAGGTAAGGGGGGAAAAGTGGGAGAAATCAGAACATTTTAGACACAATACCTGCATATAAAAGCAACAGCCAAACGAAGGTCAGAGAGTCAGACATTTTGACTGGGTTTAGAGGTGCAAGAAAAGCAATGAACTCCAAGATACACATTGCTTGAAAATATATAGAGGCAGCTCTTGAAATCTGATCTTTCCTCTATCAAATTAGTTAAAAGGAAGTGTTACATGGGTCACCTTTAAAAAAAGCTTTTGCTGCCAAGCTGTTCCAGTAAACCATGATAACAATATAGGTGTCCTCAATGCTGCTTTGATTTCTTATCATTTACTCCAGCAAAAGCTAGCTTTAAGAAATTCCACATCATTTTTATGCTGCTCTCTTTTTTAAAAAAATGTTTAGGGGCAGGTAGATTCTGGAGTAGAAGTGTAGATTGGAGGACTCCGTCACCAGCCTGAAGAAAAATATTTAGCTACTTTCAAATCAGTTCATAACCTTTGCCTCAGGGCTCTGGTGGTTGTCCAACACCCACCCACACAAAAGGAAATGAAGTAATAGTCCTATTCCCAACACAAATTGTGGGGGCTTAACCCTAACAGCTCAGACGTCAGGGCCTCTTGCAGTCCTCTGTTGCTGTTATAGGAAAGTATTTTTGCAGTCCAGACTAGATGACCACAATGGTTCCTTATGGCCTTGGAATCTATATCTCCCAAGCTAGTAATATCAGACCATCACCTGACACTGCTCAGCTGGGTTGGATGATTCCCAGCACATGTCTGTGGGCTAAAACCCATGTTGCTGATACAGACTAACACAGCTACCACTCTGAAACCTTAATAAGGTTCTTTAAATGCAATCTTGTTTAATTTAATAATATCAGCTTTTATCTTTCTCTCAAAACTATTCTCACAATTTTATTTTGGTTAAATATACATTTATAATATCCATCACTCCAGTGTCCTGATCATATTTTAGTACTTCTGCTCACCAAACCCAAGCCTTGATATACACTTGAATATTCTACTTCTTAAAGATTTAAGTAGCTACCATTTGCAGAACTCTGCTGATAAATACAAACTAACTTAATAGTGGATTTGCTTAACTGAATCTGACACACAGTCCTGTTATGCTGTTTCTATGTATTTTTAATAAGGAAATATTACACAATCCATCCATAATTCCAAGGAAAACTAAACACTGGATGTAAGTGTAGCCCCTCTCCTGAACTGATTCTTGCTATCACCTGTATTTAGAGTGGCTTCTCCTATCCCCTTGCATGGGCTGGGTCCTTATCTGGCAGCAGGAGCCTCCACCCAAAGTGATTCTCCAGTGTGTCAGATACATAAAGGTGCTGTCCCTTGAGAAAGTGAATAATATTAGCTGGCAAGGATTGTAAAGCCCAATACATAGGGAACCATAAAATTCACAGAACTAACCCCAGCAAAGGAACATCACACCAAAACCAACAGTATAACCAAAGAAAGCTTTATTGGGAACAAGAAAATAGGATCTAGGGAACAAAAGTCTTAATAGTTAACCTTGATAAATAAACCATTTCCTCACATCCCAGCACT